GATATGCAGCTGACCTGAACCCCAAATTGTAAAACTTTACCACCTAGCATGTTAAACAAATAATGCCGGTTTTAATTTACTGTCATACTTGAGCACTGCTTATGATGATGTTCTGGGAGCTGCTGTGAGTACTCTACACTTCATGTTGCTGTAGAACTGAAAGCGCTGGGGAATAAAAGAGTTTATACCTGCTTGAACCTTCACACTGCACCTACTGTCACAGCTTTTGTGAGATTCACCCATCACCATCTTGCAGAGGTGAATACGGTTTGAGGCCAGTCTCACTACTCTAAGCAGAGTCTTGGAGCCACCTCATGATGTAAGGTTCTGAAATAGTTTTTCACGGATCAAATATGGAGGTGTAACATACAAACATGCAGTTATTTTGAACCTTTTGTACTAAGCACCCTTTTGTAGCATCTGTGTAGTTGGAGTGCAGCTCCTAGTGAGCTGAGCTGCAGCCATGTGTGCTCTGTTTTGTCAATTCTTTAAAAGCAGGAATACAGAGGATGAAAAGCATGCAGCTAGCAACGACAATATGAAAAGTGTCTGTTAAATGAGTTCTTTAGCATCACATAAGAACATGGTAAAAACACAGGTACAATTCTTTCCTTCAGAGTAGCGTTGGGCTACCTAAGTCACAAGCCAAGCTTTTTCATTGTGCTGTGTTCTGAGTTATCAATAACACACCTCGTTATCTATGAAGCAAAGCTCAGCCAAAGGATGTGTTAAGGTTCTATCTCTGTCAGCAAGTAACCTCAGGAGTTGCCTGCTCTGTACGTAGAAATTGGTGAGGTGGTTGTAAGGAGCCATATATGAGCCAACTTTTCAGTTGTAGTAAATACGAAGAAAAGGGTTGAGTTATGGTGGCGTAGGAACTATCCAGTCTAGTAAACATCAACTTGTCTGAATTCTTCATTGCTATATTGCAGTTTAAGCAGTTTAGTCATTATTTTCTCTTATTTGATATAGCTGCATTTCCTACTGCAATTTTATGCAGTTTCCTCTAGGATCGGTGCCTGCTTTCTTCTTTTAAGTGAAATAAAAGATTGATTTTTTTGTTGTTGTTGACTGTGTTGGATGTTTTAACTGTCGGACCTCTACTCTTTCCTGCACCCCATCCTTACACGTTCTCCTGACATTTGTGAAAGGAAGGTAGGAGTGCAGGCAGGAGGAACCAACATTGTGCTCTACTGAATCGCATGATCAGCGAGTTCATGGTTTGGAGCGATACTGTAGAGCATACCTACCCTGGACTGGCTGTTGGCTTCTTGATCATGAACCCTCATCCTCTGCAGATTAATCTTTACAGCATCCTTGCTTCCAGCTAGAGCGAAGATAAGTTTACAGAATATTAGCAATTAAAACTGTCATGTTGAATGTCTTGAGATGGTGACATCGCCGAGCCAGCGATGTGACTTTGTAAGATTTGTTTAGCTAATGCTTTTCTCCAGTTCTGCGTTCATAATTTATGAAAAAATAAAAAGTAGTTTAACGTTCTCTGAACGGAATTGTTTATGGGGCTTACTACACTGGTTTTACTTTGTGTAGATTTTACACAAGGGGTAACACATAGTAGGTAATGACTTCTTTCTTCTAATGCTACCTCACGAATCTACTTAAT